ATAAAACCTTTGATTGGGATCTGTTTCCCTGTTTGGGGGTGTTTTAAAGCATCTACATTTGTAAGTGCCGTTGCATTGAGCGCAGCCATTACACTTGTAGTTTCCATCCAGGAGAGGCGCAAATAGACGTTGTGCAGGGATATTTAGGGGTGGTAAATCCGAGTTTACCAATTGATCTCTGAGGTTTCTGCCCCGCGAGAATACAACCAAGGAAGGGTCCGAAAACACATTACCAATACTGTCATCGGATCTTAGAATGTGCCAATGTTTGTGAACAATTCCCTTAATTTGTTCAGAGCACTTTGAATAGCGTGTAGTTAGAACGCAAGAATGCCAGTATTAATCTGACAATTTTTGTACCCCCTCTCCTTGAATTTTCTTTGCGTCTCAGCCATATTTCGGTCTAAATCTGATTGTTCTTTACAAATTCTTTTGATTCGACAGAATTGGCTGTAGGGCAAGACAGCTTGTCTGTCGAAACGTTGGTTATTAGGTTATTAAATTATTGCATCTGAGCTACTAGAGTGTGCGGCTTTCCTTTTCTTTTTCAATAACATTAATGCAACCATTTCAAATAACAAGAACATTTTTTTGTACATTTATTTTTATGTATTGCGTATCCATACAATTTAGGATACATAGCAAGAGATTATTACCTGTTTTCTCAGGCTTATATCTCTGAATTTTTAAAACACATACATCCGTTACATAAGAATCTAAACAAAAAATAGGATACATGTTACAATTAAATGATGGTTCAAACAAATAAACTAAAATCTTAGACAAGGCTGTTTCTAGTTCAGAATCATCCACAAGACGTGAGACCAGTTGTGCCCATTGTAGAGTCTTCCCCGTTTGTCTTACATAACTCATTACTTTTTCAATTTTTAACACACGCTCTGCATTAACCCCTATGTTGTTGGCTGTGTAGAGCAAGGCATTGGCCACTTTATTTTCAATAATTTGTTTCATAAGAGTTGTAAATTCTCTAAAAATAAAAAATGTAGTTATTCTCTCTAACATATTATGATAATAGTTCCCCATTACTTTATATGTAATAAAACAAATACAAAATCAAATAAAAAAAGATCTTAGCTTTCTTAGGGCTTAATGAGCCAGAAAGTCACCACATCCGCCACCAAAGCTTCCTTGTCTTTGTTGTCATCCACCAGTGAATGCTTGATTTCTTTGAGTTTCTCATGGATGAAGATCGACTCCTTCAGTTCATGTAGAAAAGCCTCTGTAACACCATAAACCCTAGGAATAGATGGTACAAGACCCACAGACAGGGCTCTGACCATCAATGTCATAAAACGATCTGGTCTTTTCACCAGTTCATCAAAGTGATTGAAGAAGAAGTACTTGGGTGGGACATATAAACAAGGACGTCGTCGCTGGCTGGGATGATTGATCTTACAACCTTGGCATCTAAAAGTGCTGCTACAGAGGCCTTGATGGTATCCACAAAAATAGTCCTAACCACACCATCAACAACATCCTCATGCTGTGTATATGTAGGGGGTGTCAGAGGTCATGAATGAAGTGAGTAGAAAGGAGGGCTGTGACGCATATCCTCGTCCGTAGGGGTTGGTACCCACACAATATTGGAGTCCTCAGATGGTATATGAATATCCATGGTATACGATGAAATGAACCATAGGGGGATGGTAACCCCCTTTTATTGTTGAACCCTTCCTTTGGGCTCGGGGCGTGGTTAACGTACCACCAGCATACTTAGCTTTTTTCAGGGGATGACCCTTCTGGGGCCACGATTTAATCAATATACGTAGTATCCATAATGCACGTCCTTAGTTTAACAATAACTAACTCAAACATTTTCAATTCCATTATATCCCAACCTAAAAAAGGAATAAGCATATGTAACCTAAAATCCCCATCACGGAGGTTCCCATTACGGATTTTCTCATTACTGATATAGAACTCCTCCACAAGGAAGTCCGTTCTTTCTTTGTATTTTCATCCTATGAAATATTCTTCCTGAGGAGTCCGGAGCACCTTCCCACTGGGCCTCGTACCCGGTGTACAATCTATAACCCTTTGAGATAACTCTCAGTTCAGGACACACCACCTTGCCAAACACATGCCAGTCTTCAATCCTGTCAATCCACTCCTAAGGTTTGGTCTGTATATACTTCTCCTTCGGCTAAGGTACAGAGTTTCACTCTACAGGCAGGGTAATCAAACATATAACCCCATACAGTGGGGGGAAAAAGTATTTAGTCAGCCACCAATTGTGCAAGTTCTCCCACTTAAAAAGATGACAGAGGCCTGTAATTTTCATCATAGGTACACATCAACTATGACAGACAAAATGAGAATTTTTTTCTCCAGAAAATCACATTGTAGGATTTTTAATGAATTTATTAGCAAATTATGGTGGGAAATAAGTATTTGGTCAATAACAAAAGTTTCTCAATACTTTGTTATATACCCTTTGTTGGCAATGACACAGGTCAAACGTTTTCTGTAAGTCTTCACAAGGTTTTCACACACTGTTGCTGGTATTTTGGCCCATTCCTCCATGCAGATCTCCTCTAGAGCAGTGATGTTTTGGGGCTGTCGCTGGGCAACATGGACTTTCAACGCCCTCCAAAGATTTTCTATGGGGTTGAGATCTGGAGACTGGCTAGGCCACTCCAGGACCTTGAAATGCTTCTTACGAAGCCACTCCTTCATTGCCCGGGTGGTGTGTTTGGGATCATTGTCATGCTGAAAGACCCAGCCACATTTCATCTTCAATGCCCTTGCTGATGGAAGGAGGTTTTCACTCAAAATCTCACGATACATGGCCCCATTCATTCTTTCCTTTAAACGGATCAGTCGTCCTGGTCCCTTTGCAGAAAAACAGCCCCAAAGCATGATGTTTCCACCCCCATGCTTCACAGTAGGTATGGTGTTCTTTGGATGCAACTCAGCATTCTTTTTCCTCCAAACACGACGAGTTGAGTTTTTACCAAAAAGTTATATTTTGGTTTCATCTGACCATATGACATTCTCCCAATCCTCTTCTGGATCATCCAAATGCACTCTAGCAAACTTCAGACGGGCCTGGACATGTACTGGCTTAAGCAGGGGGACACGTCTGGCACTGCAGGATTTGAGTCCCTGGTGGCGTAGTGTGTTACTGATGGTAGGCTTTGTTACTTTGGTCCCAGCTCTCTGCAGGTCATTCACTAGGTCCCCCCGTGTGGTTCTGGGATTTTTGCTCACCGTTTTTGTGATCATTTTGACCCCACGGGGTGAGATCTTGCGTGGAGCCCCAGATCGAGGGAGATTATCAGTGGTCTTGTATGTCTTCCATTTCCTAATAATTGCTCCCACAGTTGATTTCTTCAAACCAAGCTGCTTACCTATTGCAGATTCAGTCTTCCCAGCCTGGTGCAGGTCTACAATTTTGTTTCTGGTGTCCTTTGACAGCTCTTTGGTCTTGGCCATAGTGGAGTTTGGAGTGTGACTGTTTGAGGTTGTGGACAGGGGTCTTTTATACTGATAACAAGTTCAAACAGGTGCCATTAATACAGGTAACGAGTGGAGAACAGAGGAGCCTCTTAAAGAAGAAGTTACAGGTCTGTGAGAGCCAGAAATCTTGCTTGTTTGTAGGTGACCAAATACTTATTTTCCACCATAATTTGCAAATAAATTCATTAAAAATCCTACAATGTGATTTTCTGGAAAAAAAAATCTCAATTTGTCTGTCATAGTTCTTCTTCATCTTTTTAAGTGGGAGAACTTGCACAATTGGTGGCTGACTAAATACTTTTTTCCCCCACTGTAGTTGTCCATTAGACATCAACACTTGATCTTTCAGTACAGTTACGGGAGGTATTTGGGTTCTATACACATTAGGAAACTCTTTTTTGGAGCATCATATATTGATGATTTATACTCATCCCTTTCTCTATGATATAGCCTGGGTCCTACTTGCTATGTTAAGGTCGTCACGGGCGTGTTAGTACTCAGGCAGACCTACCCCCCTCGGAAATTACTTTTTCATTCTACAAGGGGTCACAAGCTCACTACAGCAACTCCTATACATCAACTCTTCAAACACTTCAAACTCAGGCCTCCCCGTTCACTACAAAAATTCACAACTGTTTCAACTCTTCAAACACTTCAAACTCAGGCCTCCCCGTTCACTACAAAAATTCACAACTGTTTCAACTCTTCAAACACTTCAAACTCAGGCCTCCCCGTTCACTACAAAAATTCTCAACTGTTTCAACTCTTCAAACACTTCAAACTCAGGCCTCCCCGTTCACTACAAAAATTCCCAACTGTTTAAAATGTTCTAACACATTGAACAGTTCAACGAGGTCACTACACAACACATCAATCACCAGGACATTACTTTTTATTTCAAACAGGTGCTTTATACTTCAAAGGAACCGCTGCACTATCAAGTTACATAAGCACTCACTCGATAGCGTGACAACATCCGGACAGGACGTCCTTAAAAGGATGTAAACACAGGACACAAAAATAGCCCAACAATCACTTTTTGACACATACCGTCTACTATATTCTCTCTAGCGTTTGTACCATGGCAAGCCTCACGGGCCACCATCTTAGAAAGACAAGATTTAGAAGACCATAGAAATAGGAAGTCGAAACAAAACGTAGTGGCTTTGCCAGCTGCTTCATAATCAGTGTTTCACACAATACAATAATAATCCGTGTGTCTTGAGTCCTTGAACCTCCAGTCTGGCGTCAGTGACTATCAACAGTTATGAGTTTAATCCATAACATACAGCATCGAGTCTAGTGACCACCATCAACCCGAGAGTCCCAAACAGAACACTGGAAATCATGTGTATTACAGAAAGGGACAATATATCAATATGCTAAACATTGTGTTAACCACTCAACTAAATATGAACTTTTTTTAGCTTACATTTCCACATTACAATTGTTATTTTGGGTATTTTGTAACAAGACACATATTGATGTATCTTTGTCCACCTGTGCAGACAGACAAGGTTCTATGGTTGTTTCGGTTTTCCTGTCGTTCCCTCTGGGTCCTCCTGTCTCTGATAAAGCCGGATGATCTTGGTGTCATGCAATTTCTTCCAGCTCTTAATCTCCTGGCTGTAGTCGTGATTAGCGTAGAAGATTACTTTGGTTTTAGAGTACCTCTCAACATAATAGTTGGGATATTTACCGTGGTCCTCTGTGATAAATCCATACGCATCCACCTGAGAGGGGAAAGGGGGAGAGACAGAAGAGGATCTCCGATGACACCATGTTCCCCATATGTAGACTGTAGTGCGCTACTTTCTACTTTTTCACCAGAGAACCCCCAAGTTAAATAAAGAGCTAACGTTACTAGTCATTTCTATGGGAACTGCCCCATGTTGTGTTTCTTCTTAAATATAATACATGCCATTTAGCAGACAACTTTATCCAAAGCGATTTACGGTCATGCGTGCATACACTTTCGTATGGGTGGTTCCAACTGGAATCGAACCCACATAAGGCCATCAAATAATTAAATGGTGATATTATTAGTGTCTCCTCTATTGTGTGTGTGTGTGTTCGTGGCGTACAGACTCACCACGTCACAGGTGTGCAGGGCCAGGAAGAGTGTGAACGCTCCGTTAGTAGGTCTGAATATAGCCCACCCCAAACCCTTCAGAGCCTGGGACCACAGGAACCTACAGATAAGGAGCGCACACACACAAACACACAGTTCCATTTCAGAAGTCACGTAGAAGCGGCTACTGCACTGCATGCACTGAATGTGATCACGTGGTTCTACATAGCAAACTTGACGCTATGACTATGCTAAGCTAACTTTACTAGTCATTTCTATGGGAACTGCCCCATGTTGTGTGTCTTCTTAAATATAATATATGCCATTTAGCAGACCACTTTATCCGAAGTGATTTATAGTCATGCGTGCATACACTTTCGTATAGGTGGTTCCAGCTGGAATCTAACCCACAATTGTCGCGTTGCAAGCACTGTGCTCTACCAAATATAAGCATCCACCAAATTATTATTATTATTATTGGACACTTTGTTATACCTTTTGCGGACGTATCTGAGAAAGTCAGGGTGAAGAACATAGAAGCGGTTCTCATCAAACTGTCCTGAGTAGTCCATCCACGGCCTGCAGATAAGACAGCAGAGATAACACTGAGCAGTGTAGATTGTTTGTGTATGTGAGTGTGAGACTCGCCACGTCACAGTCTGCTTACCGTCTGTTCTTGTAGGGTCCTTCAGAGACTGGCGTCTTCCCCAATAGACCCCGTAGCCACTGGAAATCCCTCAGTCCCTCGGGAATTAGCACATACTTTATGCCCTGCACAGAACAGGGACACTCCGCAGTCAGCTGTGTGGGTGGGTGTGTGTGTGTGACTGCATGTGTGAGAACACAATGACATCTGTCATGACTCATAAAGCCCATATGCAGTCTAAATCATCACTTTGTCTAATAAATCACTGTTTATTTTTTATATAACTCCAAAATGTATTTTTTATCATTTATTTCCCTGTGCATCCTTGGACCACTGAAATGCACAGTCCGACTGTGTGGGCGTGGGGATACAAATGCTTATATATTTACATACAGCCCTGATTGGCTGATAGAATCATCTAGAGCCCACCCCCTGTCTACCGTCTATTCATTGCAGAATGCCATGATTATCTACAGGGCAGCCTATAGGCCTCTGCGTCTGAGGCCCATGGTATATTATTCAGTATAATAACAAGGTCTATTTCATCATTTTACGAAATAGACTTTTGTGATGATACTGGAGATTATAACTTATTAGAATTTTTCTAATGAGTAAACACTCTTGAGTTACACATTTTGGAATGTTTTCTGTTGTTGAACGTGAATAAAGAAACCAGACTGTAATGAAAGGTTGTCATTCTTCATAAATTCTCTTGTCAGTTATTTACATAACATAATAAACTAGGTTATAATGAAACAGAGTATACATGTGGCCTGTGTACAGAGGTAAACAGGATAAAATAAATATACAATTACTACAATGTAAATCCAATAAACAATATTACATTAAACAGTAATGTCAGCAATCTCTATACATAATTTACAATAACAGAAAAATAACTAACCATAATTCCTCTCAGGAGAATTAACATCACAGTTACACCAAATGGTAGGCTAATCACATAATTGTACAAAATGGTAAGAGAACTGGTGAACAAAGTTACCCCTCTACATACACATTTCTTGTATTTACATATAACAACAGCAACAGGAATATTATAAAAGTGAAATAAGTATTTGTACTGACTTACATTTGGTCAAAAACGCACAAATATCCCAGCAAATGAAAGCCAAAGGAACTGAGAAATAAGTTCAGTTTTTATACTAACAATTGGTTGCCATGGTGAATAATCCAATAATAATTGGTAGGACACATGAAAGGAAACATCAAAGAGTTTACTGGAATCTCTAAATGAAAATACTGGCAGATCAATAAAATGTCCTTGTAGATATAATTACATTTAGAGGATTCTAAATTCAAATTTAACGGGCTTTTATACAGCCGCCCCAGAATTAGTGTAACTAATTCGAATTTAGTAAAAGCCTCCATCTTCCTTTCTATGAAGGCAAGTCTGCATCCTCTAACATGGCGGGAAGCTCTACCAATCGGGCAACAGGAAGCAGCTAGATTAAATCCTTGACCTTGACCTCCGCAGTCTGGATCCTTACATCTGCACCTGGTATTGTCTTCACTATCCGTCTGATGGGCCATGAAGCTCTTGGTAGCTGAGGATCCACTATCATGGCCACTTTCCCAACCTTCAAGTCTGGAGTGTCCTTCCACCACTTCTGCCTGCTGAAGACTTGGCAAATAGTTCCGCATGAAGTGGGTCCAGAAGTGGTCTGCCAGGACCTGATTATGCTTCCAACAGCATCATACAAGAAGGTCTATGTCTGCATTTACGGCATGTGGGAGCGAAACATCATGCCGCCCCATCAAGGGCAGATTAGGCGGAACAGGATTGGCGTCTGCTACATCCACTTAAACATAGCCAAGGGGCTTGGATCGTCAGGAGGACATGTTCATGTTGTGACTTGTCTTCAACTGCTACACGAAGAGCATTCTTCACAGACCTTATCTCCCTCTCCCAGGCGCCTCCGAAATGTGGTGCATTCGGGGTGTTGAACTGAAAGGTGATCTTCTGTTCCTGGAGATCAGGCCCAAGGGCCGTAAAGGCCTCTTGCAGTTCTCTGTCCGCCCCTTAGAAATTAGTCCCATTGTCCGACAGGATCTCTAAGGGTTTTAACACATTAGATCTGGTAAAAGATAATATAAACAAGAAAAAATGTTATTTATTTTTTGGTTCCATCATCTTTGAAATGTAAGAGAAAGGCCACGATATAATATTTCAGTTTAGGGGCAATTTATATTTTGGCCACTAGATGGCAGCAGTGTTTTTTGTTGTTGTGCACTCTCCTCAAACAATAGCATGGCATTTTTTCACTGTAATAGCTACTGTATATTGGACAGTGCCGTTAGATTAACAAGAATTTAAGCTTTCTGCCCATATAAGACATGTCTATGTCCTGGAAAGTTTGCTGTTACTTACAACAGTCATGCTAATCACATTAGCGCACGTTAGCTCAACCGTCCCATATACGTGACACCGATCCCATAGAGGTTAAGCAGGAAAGTCTCCATGTTGTGCCTTGAAGGCTTGGGATCACCAACAGTTGGAATCATAGTTTGGTACAAGGACTCACAGAGCCCTTCCATCTGTGAGATGTGCTCCAGTCTACCTTTACAGGATCAGGACTAAGGGTGACCTGACTGCAGAAGTTAGATTTGCGACATTCAGTGGTGTCCTCTTCTCTAACAGTACTGTGCATCACAGGCCAGGTGTCAGGTGACTGTTACAGGAAGTGTGGATCTTGAGTCAAGTGGTTCACTCGGGTTAGCTCAGCCAGAGTTTTTCCCCTTGTGATGTCGTCTGCTGGGTTGTTAGCAGTGTCGACATATCTCCACTCTCTAACATCCGTGAGATCTTGTATCTCAGTGACTCTGATGCCGACAAACCCTTTATAACGACACAACTCCGATTACAGACAGTTCAAGATGGTCGTTGAATCTGACCACAAGGTGGTCCTGCGGACCTCCAAAGTAAGCTCAGTTTGCAGAAGACGAGCTAGTTGGGCTCCGGTCAGGGCAGCACTGAGCTCCAGGTGCTTGGGTGCCACTCGAGATCTTGCCACGAGGAATGAGACATGTACTTGGTCGTCCTCGGTGGGGAGATATGCCACAGAGCTGTATGCTCTCTCTGAAGCATCGCAGAAGATGTGGATGTCGATGGTCACTGTTGCGCTGTCTATGTTTGGAGGGACATAACACCTAGGGATGGTGACCTCTGACAGGGTCGGAGTTCGCACTCCTACTCCTTCCACTGGTCTTGTAAGGGTGCCGGTAAGATGGGGTCGTCCCATCCGCTCTCCGTCTTCCAGAGCTCCTGTACCAGGATCTTTGCTGTCGTCGAGTAGGGAATTATATATCCCAGGGGATAGTACTGGCTGGCAAGAGTACGGTAGATGGTCCTCATCGTGTGGTGTCGGCTCCACCACAGTGCGGGACTTGTACCCCAATGTGTCTGTAGAGCAGTGCCAGCGGAGTCCTAATGTGGGTTCTTTAGGGTCCACACAGTTTTGGGAGAGCCACAGTTCTGTGCTCACAGATCTTGCTTCTTTAGGGAGATGCTCAACAACGGCCAGGACATTACTCGCCCATTGACAGATCTCAAATCCTCCTGTGGCTAGCAGAGTCCTTGTCTTGTTCACCAGTTGGCGTGCTTCCTGGGATGCAGGGAGGCTATGCAGGCATTTGTCAACATAGAAGGCATGTTCCACCATCTGTGGCACATCCTCGTTACCATCCTTGTGATCTCGCACATGTTGCTGCAAGGCGAATGTGGAGCAGCAGTGGCTGCAGGTCATGCCAAAAGGAAGAACCTGCCATTCGTAGACGTCTGGTCCTTGGTCACTCTTCAGATCCCTTCACAGGAATCGGAGAAGGCCTCGGTCTTGGGGTAGCAGGTGCACTTGATGAAAAATGGTTGTGATGTCTCCACAGATATCCACTGTGTGCTGCCTGAATCTCAGGAGGATGCCAAGGAGGGAAGGACTCAAGGTGGGTCCTGGTAGGAGGAGTTCGTTAAGAACTTGGCCCTTGTATGCAAAGCAACAGTTGAAAACTAACCTGTTATTTCCATTGTAGTGCACCAGATGGTGCGGGATGTACCAGGACTCCTCTACAGAGTCAACCTCTTCTTGGGAGAGCTTGATCATAAAGCCTGCAGTTTCTAACTTCAGAACTTCTTGGCAGTAGATCTTCTCCTGCTCTGGGTTCTTGGCTAGACACCGCTCGGTGCTCCTCAGATGAGCCAAGACTACCTCCTTGGGTGCTTTCAAACATGGAGAGTCCTTACTCGGAAAAGAGGAGTGGTGTAGCGTGCAACATCTCCAACAGTCACACATATGGTGTCAGCCTCAAGGGTGCGGATAGCCTCATCTTGCTTAGGGTCGCCATCATCTTCTCGTTGCAGTAAGGCAGGGTATCAATCTGCCACGGCTTCTCCACATGGCGGAAGAGGTCATCTGAACGGGAGATGGTGGAAGTGAACAGGCACTGTTGTTCCTTGCCGGAATTGGATGGGAAGTTGGAAGGCCCCTGGAGTGCCCAACCAAGTCGTGGTGTGGACTGCAACAGGTCCACCTTGAGGTTCCATGCGCACCGGTTCCATCAGAGCCTCCACTGGGTAGGAGTACTCTGCGAGGTCATCAGCAGTGAAGGTTTTGGTGATACAGAACTGCTTTGGATGGGTTGCACACTGGTGAGAGCTTAAAAGTGACTGAGTGGCCTTTTAACTGCACCCCCTCTTGATATACAGTCCTAACCATCAGGGACTCTGCTTCTTTGGCACCAGCTGCTGAACAGCAGAGGGAAGGACAATGGTACGCTCTGAGCGTCATCTAGGACTGCATAGGTTTCGAGTGATTTGTTACCATTGTGGAGCCGAACTTTCACCAGTTTTAGCATCACACGGCCAGAGTGATTTGGGCGGTCCAGGTAGACTGTGGTCGGAGGTGTGCTGACCATCAGGATACTCTTATCCTCTTCTTCAGCGAGGTCATGAAGGACAGTCAGGTGTTCCTCTTTGCAGACGTTGCACGTCTTCTTTAGGGTGCAGGAATCTGGCTGGTGTCCTCGCCCACACCACCAGCACCGGTCTTTATCCTTGACCCACTGAGCTATTTGGTCTTGGGAGAGCTTCTTAAACTCCTCACAAGAACTGAGGTAGTGTTCTTGGTTCTTGCAGAAAGGGCTGTACAGTTTAGGCTTCTCTTTTCCCTTGATGCCTTCCCTTCCTGCTGAGCTGAAGAGTTCTTCTTGGACTGTGGTGAAGACTCTGAATTCAGTAGTCTGGTCTGTGTTGTAGAGGACGGTGGCAGACTTGTTCTTGTTGTGGGAAGACGTACGCTGTTCTTTAGCTCCCTTGTCCTCTTTCTGGTACAACTCGACAGCCCGACTGGCAATCCACTTGGCCCGAGACCTGACTAACCATGCAGTCAGGTAAGGTGTAGGTTCTCTTGACCCCTGTTTGTAGAATGCCTTTAGTAAGGCAATACTCTACAAAACCGTCTCTGTAGGCTTCTGGCAGCATGCCGAGAAGGCGATTCACGTGTGAGCCACACATCAGCTCGAATCTGTTGGCACCCTCTAGTGTCTGGAGCATACTCATGAGAGAATGAACTGAGAGAGCAAACTCATCAATGCTGCAGCATCTCCCATCTTGACAGATGCCGTAATCAGGATGGCTGCAAGCTCGCTCTGCACCAACTGCCTTGGCTGTCCATACTTGTCTTGGAGTGCACTCAGGGCAGTGGAGTAGGGATTTGGATCGTGCATACATGACTGGGCCAGTTTGTAAGCACTTGGAAGCTTGAGGCGCTCTAGCAGAACTTGGTACTTGTAATACCAAGCAGGATGTCCAGGGCCATCCTCAGTAGGGCGAAGTCACTCTCACGACTACTGCTGAAGTGTGTGAGTTTTGGCTTTGGGATCCCAAAGGAGGAGGCTACAACTAGGTCCATTAGATTTGGGCCTGGAGTCACAGGTGCTAGAGGCAACCCAGGTGTTGGCACTTGTCATCTCCCGTCTGGATTACTGCAACTTGCTGTTGGCTGGGCTCCCTGCCTGTGCCATTAAACCCCTACAACTTATCCAGAACGCTGCAGCCTGTCTGGTGTTCAACCTTCCCAAGTTCTCTCATGTCACCCCGCTCCTCCGCACACTCCACTGGCTTCCAGTTGAAGCTCGCATCTACTACAAAACCATGGTGCTTGCCTACGGAGCTGTGAGGGGAACGGCACCTCCTTACCTTCAGGCTCTGATCAGACCCTACACCCAAACGAGGGCACTACGTTCATCCACCTCTGGCCTGCTAGCGCCCCTACCTCTACGGAAGCACAGTTCCCGCTCAGCCCAGTCAAAGCTATTCGCTGCTCTGGCACCCCAATGGTGGAACAAGCTCCCCCACGATGCCAGGACAGTGGAGTCACTGACCACCTTCCGGAGACACTTGAAACCCTACCTCTTTAAGGAACACCTGGAATAGTATAAAGTAATCCTTCTTCCCCCACCCACCATTAAAAAATAAGAAAAATAAGAAAAGTGGTTGTCCCACTGGCTATCATAAGTTAAATGCACCAATTTGTAAGTTTCTCTGGATAAGAGCGTCTGCTAAATGATGTAAATGTAAATGTAAATGTAAATGGCTGCTGGCGTGGATTGGCCTGTGTGGTGGCGCCACCCTGTGACCTTTGTAGGATAAGTGCTGGTGGTGCTGGCATGCTCAAAGGTGTCCCAGCAGTTGATGCTGAGAGCTGGGCCGACTGATTAAACAATGGAGGTGGATCAGTCCAATGGCATGGGACTAGCAGCAAGGAGGAGGCATTGCTCTGGTTGACTAGATCATGGTCGTGGACACCTGGCCCTGAGGTAAGTTCTTGGTTGGTGTCATGCCAGGAGACATGGGAAGCTGCTGGAGGCTGTTCTGGTATGAGCGGGTGGCTGGTCTGGGGCCTGCCGGAGTGCCCTTCACGTGATCCTGCCTGGTGGTCGATCGCGTCTTGAGTTGTTGGCTTCTACTTGGTGCCACGCTTTGTCGGCTGACTGAGCAAGATGCGCCTGGGGGTGCATAGAGGGTTAGGGTAACCTTCACCCTTTTCTAGGAGTGAGTGGTGCCGCTCCGCCGCCTTCAGCTCTTTCTCTACTCTCCAGCTGCATCTCCTGATATCTTCTATCCATGGTGAGTTCGAGTCTCTCCATCTCTATTTCGTAATTGAACCGTTCTGCCTCTCTCTCTTCAGCTAACTGGTGTTCCAGTTCTTCAAGTTCATTTTCTTAAGATGAACTTGAATATATTATGAGTGATCACTGTTGTCGCCATTACTGCTTTATTGACTTCGGGCTGGCGACCCCCTTCCTTGGAGGGGCTTGTAACGCCTTACCTTGTTGTGGCTGGCCTGGGCTCAACAGTTCACTTTGTTGAGGTTGGTGATGATCCTCTTCTCAGAATCCTCCTCAAGGTCTTCTTCTTCGGGGTGTGGCTTGCCTGAATCTGACCTGTGATGGAGGGCTCACCAGTTAGAATACCCTCACCTCGGTGGGCATGCCCATTTGGAGCAGTTGTTAGAGTGCGTGGGTGGTTGACTATATAGTCCTCTAGTCGTTTAGGCTGCTGAATCTCCCGTCGTGGATGGTCATCTCCTCTGGGCTGGGTCCCTTGGGAGATCTGGTAGTCCTCAGTCTCGATGTCCATCATCCTGGTTCGAAGGACCATAAAACGGAGTCTGGTGCTCTGTGTGGATAGGCCACTGGGAGTAAACGGATACCGGACTGCACTCTGGTCAAAGAGTGATGACAGACACAGAAGCCCAGTCTAGGAGTTTAATGATAAAACAGAGTATACATGTGGTCTGTGTACAGAGGGAAACAGGATAAAATAAATATACAATTACTACAATGTAAATCCAATAAACAATATTACATTAAACAGTAATGTCAGCAATCTCTATACATAATTTACAATAACAGAAAAATAACGAACCATAATTCCTCTCAGGAGAATTAACATCACAGTTACACCAAATGGTAGGCTAATCACATAATTGTACAAAATGGTAAGAGAACTGGTGAAGAAAGTTACCCCTCTACATACACATTTCTTGTATTTACATATAACAATAGCAACAGGAATATTATAAAAGTGAAATAAGTATTTGTTCTGACTTACATTTGGTCAAAAACGCACAGCACAAATATCCCTGCAAATGAAAACGGTTTGATCTCCACAAAAGCCAAAGGAACTGAGAAATAAGTTCTGTTTTTATACTAACAATTGGTTGCCATGGTGAATATTCCAATAATAATTGGTAGGACACATGAATGGAAACCTCAAAGAGTTTACCGGAATCTCTAAATGTAAATACTGTCAGATCAATAAAATGTCCTTGTAGATCTAATTAAATGTAGAGGATTCTAAATTCAAATCTAACAGGTTTTTATACAAGCCTTCCTCAGCGATGACCCTGTAGCACATATAAGAAAGGGGATCATGAATGGAAGGGAATTGTATAGCTACAAGTTATCAACCTGTGTGCAAGGTGACAAAGTTACATTTTATAATCCTAAGGTTTTCACTCTAACATTTGAGAAAACGTAACATAATATCTGATAGTCCATTGAGAAGATGGCGCTGCAGTGGGTAGGAACCGTCTTATGGGCTCAGGACCAATTCCCCCCCCCCCCCCCCCCCTTTTTGCCCTCAGAACAGCTTCAGTTTGTCGGGGCATGGACTTTACAAGGTGTCAAATGTTCCACAGGGATGCTGGCCCATGTTGACTCCAATGCTTCCCACAGTTGTGTTGGCTGGATGTCCTTTGGGTGGTGGACCATTCTTGATGCACACGGGAAACAGTTGAGCATGAGAAATCCAGCAGCGTTGCAGTTCTTGACACAAACCGGTGGACCTGGCAGCTATTACCATACCCTGTTCAAAGGCACTCAAATATGTTGTCTTTGCCCATTCACTCTCTGAATGGCACACATACACAATCCATGTCTCAATTGTCTCAAGGCTTAAAGTTATTTATTTAACCTGTCTACTCCCCTTCATCTACACTGATTGAAGTGGATTTAACAAAGGACTAAGGGATCATAGCTTTCACCTGGATTCACCTGGTTAGTCTGTCATGGAAAGAGCAGGTGTTCTTAATGTTTTGTATACTCGGTGTACATCTCTCAAGACTTCCTTAACATTAGAGACACACCCCTCCTCCCTAGAGAGTTTTCATCTATAATTTTCATAGCTGTCTATTTACCACCACAAACCGATGCTGGCACTAAGACCGCACTCAACAAGCTGCATAGGGCCATAAGCAAACAAGAAAATGCACATCCAGAGATCCCATTTCTGGTGGCCAGTGATTTTAATGCAGGGAAACTGAAATCTGTTTTACCTCATTTTTACCAGCATGTCACTTGTGCAACTAGACAAAACTAGATCACTTTTACTCCATACACAGAAACGCATACAAGGCCCTCCCTTGCCCTCCTCCTCCTCCTCCTCCCTCTCTGTGGATGACTTCGTCAACCATTTTGAAAAGAAGGTTGACGACATCCAATCCTAATTTATTAAGTCAAATGACACCGCTGGTCCTGCTCACACTGCCCTACCCTATGCTTTGACTTCTTTCTCCCCTCTCTCTCCAGATGAAATCTTGCGACTTGTGACGGCTGGCCGCCCAACAACCTGCCCGCTTGACCCTATCCTCTCCTCTCTTCTCCAGACCATTTCCGGAGACCTTCTCCCTTACCTCACCTCGCTCATCAACTCATCCTTGACCGCTGGCCATGTCCCTTCCGTCTTCAAGAGAGCGAGAGTTGCACCCCTCCTCAAAAAACCTACACTCGATCCCTCCGATGTCAATAACTACAGACAAGTATCCCTTCTTTCTTTTCTCTCCAAAACTCTTGAGCGTGCCGTCTCTAGCCAACTCTCCTGCTATCTCTCTCAGAATGACCTTCTTGATCCAAACCAGTCAGGTTTCAAGACTGGTCATTCAACTGAGACTGCTCTTCTCTGGGTCACAGAGGCTCTCCGCACTGCTAAAGCTAACTCTCTCTCCTCTGCTCTTATCCTTCTAGACCTATCCGCTGCCTTTGATACTGTGAACCATCAGATCCTCCTCTCCACCCTCTCCGAGTTGGGCATCTCCGGCGCTGCTCACTCTTGGATTGCGTCCTACCTGACAGGTCGCTCCTACCAGGTGGCATGGCGAGAATCTGTCTCCGCACCACGTGCTCTCACCACTGGTGTCCCCCAGGGCTCAGTTCTAGGCCCTCTCCTATTCTCTCTATACACCAAGTCACTTGGCTCTGTCATATCCTCACATGGTCTCTCCTATCATTGCTACGCAGACGACACACAATTAATTTTCTCCTTTCCCCCTTCTGATAACCAGGTGGCGAATCGCATCTCTGCATGTCTGGCAGACATATCAGTGTGGATGTCGGATCACCACCTCAAGCTGAACCTCGGCAAGACGGAGCTGTTCTTCCTCCCGGGGAAGGACTGCCCGCTCCATGATCTCGCCATCACGGTTGACAACTCCATTGTGTCCTCCTCCCAGAGTGCAAAGAACCTTGGCGTGACCCTGGACAACACCCTGTCGTTCTCTGCTAACATCAAAGCGGTGACCCGATCCTGCAGGTTCATGCTCTACAACATTCGCAGAGTACGATCCTACCTTATACAGAAAGCGGCACAGGTCCTAATCCAGGCACTAGTCATCTCCCGTCTAGATTACTGCAACTCGCTTTTGGCTGGGCTCCCTGCCTGTGCCATTAAACCCCTACAGCTTATCCAGAACGCTGCAGCCCGTCTGGTGTTCAACCTTCCCAAGATCTCTCATGTCACCCCGCTCCTCCGCACACTCCACTGGCTTCCAGTTGAGGCTCGCATCTACTACAAGACCATGGTGCTTGCCTACGGAGCTGTGAGGGGAACGGCACCTCCTTACCTTCAGGCTCTGATCAGACCCTACACCCAAACGAGGGCACTACGTTCATCCACCTCTGGCCTGCTAGCTCCCCTACCTCTATGGAAGCACATTTCCCGCTCAGCCCAGTCAAAGCTATTTGCTGCTCTGGCACCCCAATGGTGGAACAAGCTCCCCCACGACGCCAGGACAACGGAGTCACTGACCACCTTCCGGAGACACTTGAAACCCTACCTCTTTAAGGAATACCTGGAATAGTATAAAGTAATCCTTCTACCCCTCCCTCCCCCACCCCCCCATAAAATTAAAAATAAATGTAAAAGTGGTTGTCCCACTGGCTATCATAAGTTGAATGCACCAATTTGTAAGTCGCTCTGGATAAGAGCGTCTGCTAAATGATGTAAATGTAAATAACTCTATCCTCCTGCGCTCTGCTTAAAAGCAAAACTCAAACAGAAAGTACCAGTGACACACTCAATACAGAAGTGGTCAGATGAAGTGGATGCTAAGCTACAGGACTTTCGCTAGCACAGACTGGAATATGTTCCGGGATTCATCCAATAACATTGATAAGTTTACCACATCAGTCACCAGCTTCATTAATAAGTCAGTTGACAATGTTGTCCCCACAATGACCGTAAGTACATACCCCAACCAGAAGCCATGGATTACAGGCAACATCCGCACTCAGCTAAAGGCTAGAGCTGACGCTTTCAAGGAGTAGGACACTAATCCGGGCACTTATAAGAAATCCCGCTATGACCTCCGACGAGCCATCAAACAGGCAAAGCGTCAATACAGGCCTAAGATTGAATCCTACTATGCCGGCTCTGACGCTGGACGGATGTGGCAGGGTTTGCTAACTATCATGGATTACAATGGGAAACCCAGCCATGAGCTGCCCAGCGACGCAAGCCTACTAGAAAAGCTAAATGTCTTCTATGCTCGCTTCGAGGCAAGCAACACTGAACCATGCATGAGAGCACCAGCTGTTCCGGACAACTGTGTGATCTCGCTCTCCTTAAGAACTTTAAATAGGTTAACATTAATTCCAGACGGACCACCAGGACGCATACTCGGAGCATGCGCTGACCAGCTGGCAAGTGTCTTCACAGACATTTTCAACCTATCCCTAACCCGGTCTGTAATACCAACTTGTTTCAAGCACTCCACCATAGTGCCAAAGAACACCAAGGTAACCTGCCTAAATGACTACCGCCCCGTAGCACTCCCATCTATAGCCATGAAATGCTTTGAAAGGCTGGT